AATGGCCTCTAGGCTCTGGCTCCTGGAAGGTGAGGACGAGAGGGGAGCAAGTTAGAGAGATGGGGCAGCCTGCCTATCTTACCAAAAAAGGGGCTATCAAAATCTGTTTAGCCAAAGAACAGCAATAAATTCCACTACTTTCCTCCAACTCGGGAAAAGCGAAGGAGAGGTGTGCTTTCTCACAGGAAAACGTATACCCTCCCACCAAAAAGTCCCCATCTCGTACAAGACCGCCGTATCTCGTTTCCGTCTGGCCTTGCGTTGCTGAAAATTCTGTTACATCGCATTATTTCCACCAAGCATCGTTACCTTGACCAAATATCACAAAAAGAAAGGAAGGGCAAAATAAACTGCCGACCTAGGCTATCCCTATACGAAGAGACAAGGGCTTCCAACCGTCCACTCAGCCGCAGCAAGAAAAAGAAAAAGACTCAAATTTGCCGCGGATCCGAGAAAAAAGCTTAAAATATCAAGTCTTTGCAGGTACTACGGGCGTCGGACTTTGACATGGCGAAAACGACCTAGAAACGTTGGGGCGCTATCCATCGCCATCGGGCGAAACCTGACTGTTGCCCCTTTCCTGCAACCAACTGATGCCCGTGTACTTGAAACCAGTCAGCATGTAACGGTACAGCGCATTCGCAAGTTATTCTGTTTGTGTAACCGGGATGTTACGTCTGCAAATGATGCTATTCAGACCACAAACCACACAGAAGCGGTGGGCAGCAGCCCGGGTCATAGGTCCGTCGGTCCGTCTGTGGAAAGCTGGACATATCTCAAGGTTTGAGACATGAAGCCAAAACCTGAAAGCTTTCCAAACACGATCTGGTGTGCCTAGTGTAGTCAACAGAGCTGACTACCAAGGCTGGAAAGCAGGAAGCTTTGCCCCGCCATCAACCAAACGGTATCTTTGAGATGTGGAAATAGATCACAGCTCCTTGAGTCCAATAACCAACAACGCACATGGTTCAGAGACGGCATCCACATGCTCTGCCACGTGTAAAGCAGGAATAACATCTCGAGACCTTCATCGCCCAATTATCGCTTCTCCAATGGGGTATACACCCCCCCTGTATCGATTTTCCACAGCTGATTGGTTGCGGTTCTTGCCATTTTATGTTCCGTCATACTTTAGTTGGTTCTCGGCATAAGCTGTCCAACATTTCTTCCAAACCAACATCACCGCGGATGTAGCCGGAGATGCTTCGTGCAGTCAAGGGTCAAAAGAAGTCCATTGAATATCAATCGATCAGCTTTCGGTCGGAAGGCCAAGTCGGTATCCCGGGAAGCCCCAACAACTGCAGTCGTACGAAGGAATCAGCAGGCTAAGGAGCGCCTGCGGGATTGCATCTGAAGAGACCCCTGGGCAGATACATGTGAGCGGCTGGGCTCGGAGCGGAGCTTCCGCCGTAGCAAGTAGGATTCGAAGAGTTCCCTGAATCTCGAGCAATGTCCTTTCCTGGATATGCATGCGACTCTGCGCGCGGCAAGTGAGCAGAAGTCAGTTCACCCATGCAGTAGCATATCAAGGCCCTGGTAGATACATTCAATGGGCATCTGTAGTCGCCTTGAGAAGTAGACGTTCCAATTTGATCGACCGCGGAGAGGCGGAGGTGGTTCCCTTGGTACTTCTAGTGCCATTCATCGTGGACTTGGCCGTGTCGCCCGCGACAACCGACGTTATCTGTAACTTCCAGCGAAGCCTCTCTTGCTTAGTATTTTGAATGCTTGTAGGTGTTGCAGTTCGCAGTTGAAGAGCTAGAAAACTTTTCCAACAGTCGCTAAGGTATAATTCGAGGCAAAGTGCTGAAGCGAGTGGAACAGAACGGTGAGACATAGCTGCCATCTTGGGATCCAGCGATTTGCGACCTAAGACAAGTCGATAATTCACCGATGCTGCCTTTTGTCATCCGTGGCGTTTAGCTTTCGTCTTCGGCAGTTGTTAGATGCTCGCTCAGCTCGAAAGCTGCATGACGGTGCGTAAACGGTAAAGGGGGTGTTGTCAATTTGCCTTGCGGACTTGCTTTTTCCTTTTGCTATCCGGGCCCGATTGCTTCAATCGTTAGAAACTCCGATAAACCATGCCAAGCGGGGGTCAATAAGAATGTGAGATGGGAAAATTCTGGTGTACGCGTATATTTCCGAGTCTCTGTTGCATGATCCTCATGTGTGACGTCCAGCACCAGGGCTGATGCTGCAGCCAGTGGAGCTTCGGAATTCGGGTGTGTGCTAATTGTCAAATGATGGTATGCCTTTGCATGTGTTCGTTGAGAAGATGACCTGATACAGATTGGAGTGACAGTGGTGTCTTCGCGACAATGCATTCCTCCGATGGTTACTTTCTAGACATGAGCCACTCCACCTAGCCCATGGTGGGGATGACACATTTAGGACCATGTCGGATGCCCATAACTCTGACCTTTAGCATGAGCCCGGGGAGTAGGATCGCATTTGCTTCGGAGATATCGTAGTGCTTTGAAGGCATTATGAAAAGTGAGGAAAATTTCGGGCCGTAGAGAACAATTGTGCTCCGTATTCTCGATGCGGAGTATATTGTAGCTGTTATTGATTTTCTTTGGAAAGATGCTAATGTGTAGGATGTAACATGCAATGAGCCAATTCCAGAAGACGAATCTCCCATATAAAAGCACAACAGGTAAGGATTGTTATGGTACCCGGGAAGCGGTGCATGGAGGTTGGTGTCAATCAGGTCGATGGCGATGGTGTAAGGTGGGGCATTATCCATGGAAGCCAAGCGTGAGGCGCTTCGATGCTGGGTAGGGTAGCAGGCAAGGGACCTAGGGTAGGAGAAGTGGCATCGAGATCGTCGTGGCTTGTAGTTGGATCGTTGTTTCGATAGCGGGGATGATTTCCAATTTGGGCTGTCTGGTGCAGCGCTGAATTGTTCGGTGCCGTAGGGTCGGTTCATTCGTAGTCTCAGATGCCTACAAGACATGATTAGTTATCTGACCATAGGATCTTGGCGTAGTTGGATCAAACACTGATGACTGCCAAGGGTCATCAATGAAGAGGACGAGGATGTATGCGAGGCATCGTGGGTTGGTTCTTGAGGCAAAACGGAAAGGGGCCGGCCGAGATGTGGAGATGGAGGATGAGATGCAGGCTATGGTAACATTTTGACCTAGCTACTGGATTAGTTGACAGAACATCTGGTCCGGGTGTTTTGTGGACAAGGGTTATCAAGACGGAATCTTGGTCTAGGATCGTCGAGTAGTGTCCAAGGCAAGCCGCACCACGTCTCGATGCCTGCGCGTCGCATTGGCGTTGATTGGCTGAGCGTCAATGGCCGATAGAGGGGGAGGATCGTTTCTGGTAGGTAAGCGAGAGAAGATGGGCAAGTGGTTGGCATGGAGGGGTGACTGGCGAGAGGTTCTCCTGGGAGCAAAAGTGTGCGTGTCTTGGGAGACTGCAAGCCGCGATGGCGATGGCGATGGCGATGGCGATGGGATGGGGTCTGGGGAAAGAGATGGAGATGGCGATGATGGATGGGCATTACCAGAAACCGCAAAGGCACTGTGGCATGATTACATGTGATGAAGATGGAGAATTGATTGGACGGAGTTGGAACCGATTCGCCGTGGACTTTTCTTCTCCTTGGCTGCCTCAAGGTACCTACGTTACGGTAAGGCAAGGCAAGGTGAGGTAGAGTGCGACGGAAAGCTAAATGGAAGGGGAGGGGTAGGAACGGATACGTCGGTGAGGTGAGGGCTGCATCTCATTACGGCGCCTCGAGGATCCTACCTGCCTGCCTACCTTGGGGTAAATGCAAGTGAGAAGCCACGCTGAGCACACCGTGATAAGCGGTCCACGCAGGCGCAGACGTACGTTACTGACAGACGCACGTTGGAGCCGAATGTTATGCACCTCCCGGTCTGGTACCTATTGGAGCGAACTGGACTTTCACACGCCTTCCATTGGCAGCCAAGAATAGGTAGACCAAGATGATCCTTCTACAAGTATCCACCGCCCATAGGTAATTAGCAGGTGCGGCCAATGGAAGAAAAAGGACAATGGAACTTGGTCAACCAAGGTAAGGCATCTTTGGGAGGCGACGCAAGTCGTTTCCAGGTTCTTTGCACTATCAAGGGTTAGTAGATCTCGGCTCAGGCCATCTTACGTGCCTAGATCTGGCTATGATGAGGGAAAGACCCGCCACGATGACTTTGAGGTTGGATGGGAGGAAGTGTGGCAAATATGCGACGGTGAGGCTTGACACATGCTGTGACTGTGGGGAAGCAGAGCCCAGTTTGTCTATCCAGAAATGGCAAGGTAACTGAAGTCAAGGCATGACATGCCTTAGCGTTCCAGGATTATAAAGCGCCGGTGCGTCTACAACTTATCGGTGGCATCAAGTGCTATACGTAGTACCTTACAGCAAGTTGAAAGAGTGAACATCAGGTGGAAACTGAGGCATAACTACATAAGAAAAGAGGGGGGGGGGGGCGCCGGGCAGTTGGGATGGAAGGCACCATGAGAGGACGGGACCGGGAAGCGAAGGAAGCCAACCTGGAAAGGGATATGGGAGGAGCTACCTGCCGTGCGTGCCTGCCTAGGTACTAATTGGAATACGACCGATTTGTTTTCTTGGGGCAGGAGGGCCCAGGCCGCCTAGGACCTACCTAATTTAATGGAAGGAAGATTTGCCACCCAGCGCCTTTCCCATGCCGGAGTTTAATCCGGCGGCCAATCAGCAACATTGGTCTCACCGGATTGAATTCCGCCACGTTGGGCATCCATCACTGGCCGACTCGCCGTACTCTTCTAAAACCCGCCTGCCCAACCTATCAGGAAACAGAAAGAACCACTTACCTTCCTGCCTTCATTTCGGCCTTCCCATACCGATCGTACGGAATATTACCTTAAACATCCAGTGTCCGTAGATCCCATTCATCGCCCTCCCTGTCGCCGGCGCCGTTATTGCTGCTGTCTACGCACCAAGGCCCGTACGCAACCACGGTCCGAGTCACTGGCTGTTCAATTTTGCCACCCTCACCTCTTCCTCCTCCTTCTATCCTCCACCACCACCACTCATTCACGCAACACCAGCGTCTCCTCGTCCTGCTACTACTCCTCCTTCTTACCTACCTCAAAATCCCCTGATCATTGTACAATGTCTACCGAAACCTACTCTTCATACAGCCCTGCCACTGGCAATTGCTGGCATATCCCTCGAGTCCACGGATACTCCCCAACTTGACTCCCAGGAAAACTCCAAATTCGGCTTCGATCTCAACCTCATTTCAGTCTGCACTTTGGTCTGCAGTCTCGGCTTCACAATGCGACCTCTTTCCCGGCTGTCTTACTCTACCTTACCATCCTGCTGGCCACTACCAACACATTCCGACTCTGCCGTCTTCTTACCATCAAAACCTTGCATTGGCCCCTTGGGTTCCGCTGCAGTGGACAGCCCCTCAGCTGCCGCCCTCATGCTTATCCACCCTCCCCTTCGTCTTTGCTGCTTCGATATACAAGATGCCAATTATGACAATCATGCGAGGAAAGGGTTCATCTCTCCAAGCCAGCAGCACACCTTCGCTTCGTGTACACCACCCCGTGTAGGTGTAATCCGCCGTCTGTCGGTTCTGTCTGTTGTTTAAGACATCTGGCAACTCAGGTCGCCTGGCCTGAAAAGACACGCATTGGGTGGAACAGCTGTAAGTCTATTCTCTCACTTTGTCCCCTGTCAGTCCCAGCCCCAGTAGAAACCCCCGACACGCATATCCCCAGCCGGAGCCCTTCTCCCACCTCCTTCATTGGGGGCCCGCTCAAATATCCTGTCGCGCCCCCATTCATCGGCATGGCCCTACAACCCCAGTCACTGTATTGCCCGTATCCTGCCATAGACTTTGCACCAAACTCCCAACCCCAAGCCAGTAAGTAGGTAGGAGTTCCTCTTCCTCCTCCTCCTTCTCCTCCTATTCCTCCACCCCTGGCTTCCAAAACTGATCATTTTTTATTTTTTTTTACTCGACCATCTTCTGTCAGCATCTTCTTGCGGCCAAGATACTCATATGTCCCCTAACCCAGATACTAGTTGCTTTCCAGCTGAGTTCTGAGTTTTTCCTCTGGATTCCGCTAGCACCGCCGTCAAGGCTCACGACAACGTATCCTCTTCAGAGTCCACCAAGATTCTTGTAAGAAACCGAAGCTACAGATTTTCAACCGAAGAAGAAGAAGAACACTCTGTTGTCCATGTGGGAGGCAACATGATGGCTCAGTCTGCCTACCCTGAGCTGGTGCCAATGTATACGTTACCACAACAACCGCCCCAAACGCATATCAACGAGCCTCATCTGTGCCAGCGATGGTCTGGATGCGATTGCCACACAACTGAGTTTTCCATGGCCTCCGTGCACCAGGAAGTCGAGATTCAAGCCTATCGGTTGTTCGACTCAACAGCAGGGACTACGTCAGACTTCTCGACGGCCACTTGGGCAACCCAACGCGAATCGTGGCCTACGTACCAGCAGTTAGACTTCCAGCCACCTGAACCCATGGCATACAGTTCACACCATCTATGGCCAAATCCCGTTGACAGTCCTCCTATCTCAGGCCAAAATTGGCAGTACACACCCGATTTTCAACTCCAGGCTAGCCCGGCCCCAGGAACAACGACAACATGCCATACGCCGAGGGTGTCTAAAAGTCGACAGCCGGAATCGATGAGTCAACCACCCATGAAGAAGACACGTCTTGTAGCGAGAGAGCACGTCTCACCGATGTACATGGCTTCTTTCGACGCAAACACGAATGTCACCGAGGCCGCCAACGAGCACAAGGAAAGTGACCATGACACTTGCTCTTCACCAAGACCGGAAGGGAAAAAGACGTATCGCGTCAAGAATCGAGCCGCCGCAAAGCGATGCCGCGAGAAGACAAAACAGCATGAGCTAGATCTCGCCGCTCAAGAGCAGCGAGTCACACAGGAGCGAATGTATCTCGATGCCTGTGTATCTGCGCTCAAAAACGAGGTTCTGGTTCTGAGAAGCCAGATTCTCGAACACGGGGACTGCGACTGCGAGATGATACGAGGATATATCGCAAGAACAGCCAACAATGTCAGCATCGGGCTTCATGGAGAACGCCAGCTGGTTTAGGGGAGAGGTCATAACAACATCATCTACTCAGCCTGCATTTCGATGCTGGATGGACGAAACGAAAGAAGGTCGAACAAGATACAGTATCGAGCCTCAAGTATAGCGAAGGACTCTTGATACTAGCCTCACATCTGAAAGATGGCGAGCTGATACAATGATGACCGGCATCCAGCACAAGATGCAACATAAGCAAGGAGGTAAGCTTTCCATCATTCTTTCCTCTGAGAACTCCTTGTTCTCAGCTTCTCGCTCGAGAAGCCAAGAAATGAGCTCTATTGTCGAGACTTTGGTAAGAGTGTATTGGTCTACCTTACATCCTTCCTGAATTCCCACCTCCTGAGACACGGCTGTCATCACGATGCTAATCGTCACTCTCCCTCCTCTGTCTAGACACAAGCTAATCGCTGCTGTAGGCATACTGCACTGACCACGACGGGTTTGTGCCGTGCTCTCTCCACAAATCTCTGCTGCAATGTTGCGATGCAGTCAGCCAACCACAACGACAATTTGGAGAAGCGCTCTGAGGGGTACAAAACCCCCCACCACAAAAGACGCCCCGGTTTGGCTGAACATCTTGGAACCACCCCCGCCAATCAACGGTTGACTGAGCCTGCTCCAGACGCTAAAAACGACCTGATTAGCAGTGCCGCATGTACCTCGACTTGTTGGCGGGTTGCATTACAACTGGCGCAACCAAGGTCTTTGTGCAACCAAATGATCTCCTGCACTCAACTGGTTTCTTTTCTTCTTTCTTCAGGCCTTTTCGTGGTCTCCCCCGCCTTATTCCCTTTGGCGGAGTTCCATCGAAAGCAGTCGTAAGTGACTGGTTCATTATCCGTCGTCTCGCGGGTGCACAAGGCTTGGGGTTTCAGCAGCCATAGGCAGAGTCTGCAGATTGTCGGGAGTGTCTAATCCTAATTCCTGGCTGGGCTGCTGACACAAACCGACAGCTGAGCTGGGGTCCGATGCGCCAGCAAACTCTCGATAGCCGCAGCGGCCACTCGCACCTACGACATCCTTGCATTTCTGTCCTTTCTGTGGGTGGATGGATCGCGCAGCAGCAGCCTCTACCTTGCTAATGGGCTGGCCTGGCCATGGCCAGACGATTCCATGGCTTTGGGGAGCTTTGCGAGCCAAACTTAACCTCTTTTATGTGGTTTCCGTTTATTAATATTATTTTTTCATTTCTTCCCTTTTCGGTTTTCTTATTTACCTAGGGGGAATCGCGGCAGCTTTCCCGGCACCGGAACAATCCAAGTGGCCCAGCCAGCAACGGGCACGGGGATTTGGCTTGAGTCTTGTCCATCCATTTCGTCATACCTGTCTACCTCACGAGCTCCCAAGAAATTGAGAGACTACTCATCGGGACGGGCCTTGTCAGCACTTCCAAACACCTGCAACAGCAAAATAACATCACGACGATAACGAGAACGATTCAATCACGACCAACATGGCCAGCGGGTCGGCAGTATGACACGCACCGTCAAAACGACTGAGACTTACCAAGCGACGCGGAGGGCGGATCTGGTCTGGCGGTTGAGGCCCGCTCTGGCTCTGGCTCTGGCTGTACCCTCTCTCAATTCGTCCACCCGCGCCATTTCAATTACTACGACGAATACGCAGACCTCGCCGTACCAGCTACACGCCGACGCCCATAATATTCACGCCTCCTTTTCCACTGTTTGTGGCTATCTCGGTTGTCCACCAGGCCTGCCCATGGTCCTGTGGCAACGCTCACGATGAAACCACAGCGCGAGCTTTTACCTGCGGGCCCAACAGCAGCCAGCAGCGCCTCGTCGGAACGGGAGACAACCCCGCAATCTGCCACTGGTACCACGTCTTCTGCACCAAGACGACGTCCGCAGACCAAAATCGCCTGCACCTCATGTCGTCGCAGGAAATCAAAATGCGATGGCCAACGTCCCGTGTGTTCCTTGTGCGCGGGCATGGGTCGCACCCGCTGCGAGTACGATGCCGGCCCCGACGTCACACGCTTCGCTGCCCTGAAAACAAAGCACGAGGAGCTTCAACGCCGCCTTTCTCTCTTTGAAGAGCTTTTCCGCCTTCTATCTATGCGCTCCGAGCCGGAATCAGTCGAAATTATCAGGCGGATGCGGACTCTGAATATAGAAACCGATCTGGACGACTTGGTCAAGTTTATCAAGAACGCAGATCTGCTCATCCAGCTGGCTTCTGCACAAGCCGAACCCCCTGCATCGGGGACACCCACGAACCTCCAAGACCCTCCCGCCGAGGATATATCCTCCTTACTCGAGCTATTGTATATCACACTCGGCCTCATGGCTTCTTCATTCTCCGTGGCACTAGCTGACCCCAAGATATCAGAAATTCGGCTGTTTCTAAACTCGACGCAACGGCTCGCTTAGCCTTTCTTGATACGATAAGACTTCAGATCGAAGCCTTTATCACTACCGAGCGTAGTCAATCTGGCCCCGTTGAGTCTGTCAAGATGGAGGGGCTGGTCGACGGGGAGATGGACGGTGCCGTGAATGGAGAACTGCAGGATGGCGTGGATGGCGTACACCACCATGAGTCAGGGGTTCCTCTCAAGCGACTACTAAACGATGATACGACAAAACCGAGATGATGCAAGATGCATGTTTTTGGAAGGCCGGCACGTCTTTGCATGAGACGTACGATGGGCGAAGCTTATGACTGGGCGAAGCGGTTGGGCTCGCACAAGGAAGGCGTTTTCAGACTGATGAGCAACGCTTGAGACGGCAATATCTACAGAATAGCCGCAATTCCCTCGGCGGCGCAATGGGTCGACGTTCTGCCCATGCAACAAGAGATTTTCCAACGACAATATTTTGCCTGATATCGGGAGACCACGGGCCTTTTGGGGGTAGCAGGGCTGTACGAATTCGCGACATCGAATTTGACACATCATGGCTCGTTTAAGGTTCCATAGCGGGACAAGGAACGGGACGGCATGAGGTTGGAAATGCGGGCACGGGAAACACCGAATGCCCGAGTTCGTATGCAGCGGTTGCACGGGCAGAAAGGGAGCACGAAGTTGCATCTGAGGACACCATTTGTGCCTTTCGGAATTCACTATGCCCGGGAAAAGGGGCGGCGCGCGAAAAGAGAAAAAGTCAACAAGACAAGTCTTATGACGGATCCAAGTTGAGGCAAAAGATTCAGACATGATGGCGAGGTATCGTGATATTTCAACGAACTCGAATTATACGGCACATGCCGAGTCTCTTCAATCACACGAGAGGAACAGTGAGCCTACATCTGGAATACAGAACGGCATTATTCGGTGTCTTGGAGCAAACACCCCTATGGGCCCAAGCATGTGACCCGTCCTCTGATCAAACACATCAAGAAGTCGAGCTTGAGCTGTGTCAACCCACAAAAAAAGGTCTACTGGGGGTGAGATGGGCTGGCTCTCACCTGAGCCTCTTCCGGCTGTACCCCAAATGAGGATGTCTTGATCAGAACGTCATGATGTGCACTGATGGGAGGGTGTGGTCCATGCCGAAGCACTAAGGTAGTCCAGGGGTGGTTTGTCCCTTACTGTGGTATACGCTGGTACCTAGTGAAGAATTGGGTATCCGTACCAGACTACGGGGATCTCTTTTTGGGCTAATTTTTTTCTATTTTGTTCTATCCCTCCGGTTTGCGGTGCCCTTATTTTTCCCTATTCCAACGGTCGCCTCAAGTGGGACGGACGATATCTCATGTTCCCAGCCTTTCTGGCCTTACCGGGCGTGCAGACGTACGACGCCTCGGGCCGAGTGTTGCATTTATTATGTGCCCTTGCCTCTGTGTTTTTGATGATCAGATGTGAATCACGGTTTGGCCGACAGGGGAAGAAGATATTGGACAGAAAAGACACATAAATCGAGTAGTATTCAAGCAAGCGTATAATTTACTGATGCACCGTCAAGATTTAGGAGAGCTGAAAGTACGTGCGTGGCACGTGGTAACTTGTTCGGAAAGAGGAAGAATGATTCCATGAAGGCGGGCGTATCCGTACGGATAGTACTTTTGAATACGGGTACCAATACAAAGCTTGGGACCGGCGGCAGGCAACTAAACCAGCTGCAGGCGGGGAAAGAAAAAAACAACAATAAAGGGCGGTAAGAGAATGGTGGCTGGGGAAGGGGATAAAAAAGAGAGACAAACAATACGGCAGAGGAAAACAAGAGCGATGAACCTCGAGGATCAAGATCAAGAGACACCAGTATGATCTCGATCGTCGATGAGGGTTGTTTGGAGGCTGGCCCCATTGGGAGAAGGCCCAGAAGGGGGAGGAGGGGAACCAAAAAAAACAACAATGAAGGCTCTGACGTACAGATAGCGGGTAGCTTTTCCCATCTGAGCTCATTATACCCCCTCACCTCTTTAGACGGCGCGCCGCGTTGAGGCCTTCAGGCTCAGGCTAGGAGCTGGGGGATCACGATGGCACTTTTAATCCATTCATTGTTTGCGGCTGCCAGTAAGGTAGCGGCGGTGCCAGTGATGGTCACGAGAGCGGTTGGGGAAGGGCTTCGGCCGATGTGGTTCATCGGTTCCGACTCGCGGTTCCGAAGAGGGACCTTTTTTTTTTTTTCGTTCAAGGACCTCAAGCTCCATGTTCCTTGAAACTTTTGGGATGGTGCAGGAATTTGGAGCCTGGTGCGAGGGGGGGTTTGCTGCTATCATAATACCTTTACCTACCCATGAGGACCGGGAAAAAGCGCTGAAATATTGGTAGACGGGTTCTGCGATGGCACCCCATACACTGGCTGACCGCAACCAACCCTGAACCCAATCAGTCATCTCATGACTTTTGCCAAATTGTTTGCTTACTGTCTTGGGCGGCGCTCGCTCCGTTGTGATGGGTAATTACCTGTTTGCTCTTCCTGCATTTTCTGGGTCGAATGATGATCGGGTGTTCTTCCGTGCGCGTTGTATGTGCGATGCGACTTGTGTGGTTTTTTTCGGTTTTTTTTTTTTTTTTTTTTTAGAACACGGCGCTTGTTCCGGTGCTCTGTCTACCTACTCCGTACCTCTACTACGTATGGACGCAACTCTTTTTGGAAGACGGAACTGGGGGGGGGGGGGGGACAATACGTTGTGATACCCCACTCTTTTTCCAATCCTTTCCGTCTCAAAGGAGGACTGGGGCCGGCTCGGTGACAGGTTGGATCTAATACTAAAAGGGGAGTAAGAGGGGCTTGGGGGGAATGGCTTAGGTAAGTTGGGAAGAGAAAGAGAGAGAGGGAGAGGACTGAACATGCGGCTGCGCGACGGGCTTTGTTGTTTGACGCGGGATTCTCCGTGGCTGAGTGCTGAGTTCCTTCCAAGGCCAGGCGTAAGATTAATTTTCGGTGTGACTCTGTGAGTTGGATCATGGATGAGGCTGGCTGGCACGTGCCAAGGGCAGTTCCAAGGCCAGAGCACGTGGGAGATACTAGGTACCTTGGATGACCTGGTCGCATGTGGGAGAGCGGGCGGGCGAGGTACCTCGACTTTTTCGAGTGAGCCGCAAGCGGATCATAGTCAGGTAACACTTATTAGCTACCTAAGGTGGTGCACAGATTCAGGTTGACTTGAGCGGATGTACGCAGTATAAGGTAAGCGAGTGAGGCTTGGAGGCTTTGAGGCTCAAGCTATGGCTGGAGATTGTATGCAAGTTCGACGGAAAACCATGGGAAAGGTACTTGGAGCGACGGATGAGGAAGGGGAGGTTATTTCCGAGGTTATGAAGCGGCCGGAGCCGGCGTGGGTGGGCGGGCATGGCAAGGACGCGAGGGTCAACGTGAAGCGTCGGCGGCTGGCGGGAACCGGAGAGCGCATACCTTGCCTCCCAAGGTACGCAGGAATAGCATAGGCGAGCGAAGGGGGGTTTTGAGCCGGCGGGCGAACAGACTTTTTCCCGCTACCGGCCGGATGCCGTTAATGGCTATTGTGACTCCTCTGTTCCTCATATGTGCATTTCATCGAGGGCATGATCTCGCTTCAACTGAGCGGGTCATGGATTCAAGTCAATAGTGAAATCACCACTTTATTCGCTGATGTACAATAGTTGAAGGTGTCATATACTATCTGATTCGAGTAAAGATTAGCAACCCTGTCATTTTTCTTGTCTCCCAGATCTCGATCAGACAAAGGCATTTTAGAGAGGAATATCATTGGGATGGCGTCTTGGATATAATGTCATGATTGCGTTGTTCGATAATCCGTGGTTCAATGGCAGCGTTTTTTCGTGTGGAGAAGCGGGAGCCCAGGGCGGGGGCTAGGTAGGCACCTTTAGCGGGGAACGTCTTGGAGACAGATGCTAAGAGAAATCGCGATAGTGCCGTAAACCGTATACGCTGTATGAGGTAAGTTTCCCCGTTGGAAAAGGTGGTTGTCTTGTAAGGCATTCTTGCATTATGCGGCTCTACAGACTAGGAGAGAGTGCTCCGAGTATGTGTCTACGGATCTACGTGTCTCAGAAACTCAAGACAAGTTCGGTGTTGGACAAGTGTCATGCGTCGGATCTGGTCTGCTGGGCCAAAGGGACCTGACTGATTCATCATGATTCTTACTATTGTTTGGTTTCGGTGGTGGGGTCTCTCGCCTTTTTTTTGGGGGGGGGAGACGCCGATTCTCGGCAACCAAAAGTCCAGGCTCTTGAGGTTTGGTTTTCATCGACTAATTGAAATACGCTATTGGTCAGTTTTTGGCTCGCGACTTCGTCTCGAGCCATCCCCGAACGACGCCCTTGACTAACATGAACTTGTCAGAGAAGGGCCACATGTCAACAGACAACATGACCAATTTCTTCGGGGGTTGTTCTCTTTATTCCCACCAATATTATGCTAATAGCCTAACCGTGTGAAGAAAAAAGAAGGAGAGCGGTGCATGGCATGAGGGATGCCCGAAAGGCATATGTCGATCTGAGAAGACGAATGGTGAAGAAAAACACGAGGAAAATAAGGCCGGGGTTTGGTTCGGTTGAATTACCCACATCAAACAAATGCCATCAAGATAAACGCGAGTCCGCGTATCCTTCTCCCATGTAGTATGCTATACGGTAACATCTTACATACGAAACCGCAATAGCTACCTAGTTAGGTCCACGTTAACCAGCCCTGTCCCGGCCTAGTAAGAAGAAGCCGGGAACCTACCTTATTCACACAACGAAACGGCTGTCGGTTAGGTTGTCCATTCCCCGTCGTTCGAGGACCCCTGGGGGGGCAAACCTGGGGTAAAGGAAAAAGTTTTTTTCTTCTTCTTTCCTCTTGTCTCTCTGTTCGCCCTTTGCATACATGACTGCATGACTTATACCCCCCTTTTTTTTTTTAGCCTCGTCCTAAAAGACTTCCATGGTCCTTTCGAAGCGAGGAGCCGCGTGCGTAAACCTGGGGTGTATGATTGGCAAGGAAATGACTGGATAATTGCATCAAATCACCTAACCCAACGACAAACTCAACGAAGGAGCGCGAACCACTGCTACCCACTCACCCACCACCCCCGACCAGGCCCAACTCTAGCCGAAAGACCGAAGAGGCGAAGGAAACTAGTAAGAAAAAGTACAAGTAGGTTCGTTGATCCGCTCTCTCCCTCCCTCGCAACGGCCCGCAGTAGGATAGTGTTGGTATTAGTCGACACTCTCTACTCCTCCTTGAGCTCGATCCCTGTTTTATCAGAGACGGGTATTTGTTAGGCCTCGATACTCTTGTTACCGTTCATCACTCTTACCACAACGAGTCTGGTTTGATAGGACTGAGAGAAGTTTCGAAGGCTGAGGAAGAAGTTGTTGTACGGAAGAAGAAGAAAAAAAGGAACTCTTGTACAAGACAAAGGAAAAGGAAGCAGAAGGGAGAAAACGTGGCCGACAGGGTTGCAGAACTGCAAGGCGGAAGTCAAAAAATTCAGGACGAGGGAACAAGAAGAAGACCTGAAGATCGAAGGGGGAAAGATTCAAAGACAGACACAGCACGAGACATAATACCGAGGCTCGCTCTCCTCTCTTCTCTTGTCCTCTCCCTCATCCTCCTCTCTTCATCCATCCATTCACCCATCCATCCCACATGGACCCGGAAAAGGCTTCCACAGCCCGCCAAGGCGACCACATCACACCCGAACCGGACTACAGCAACTATGACTACCCGCTGCCCACCAAGCCAGAGAGCGCAGCCCACGATGGTGCAGCTGCGGTCATAGGCAACGACCTGATTCCCTCCGTCTCCAACGCCGTCGCCGGCGCGGGCGGCGCCAACTACCATCACCAACACAACAGCGATTTCATCAACAACAGCAACAAGAACAACAACAATGCCGCCTACGGCAAGGAAGCCGAAGGGGGCGGAGGAGAAGGGGGTACCGGCGACACCACCGACGACGACGACGACGGCAACTACATCCACCGCACCGACACTGCAGGAGTCGCCTCGACAACAGCAGGAGAGGAAGAAACTTACCCCGAGGGCGGGCTCCGGGCGTGGTCCGTCGTGCTGGGGTCCTGGCTGGCGCTCTTCTCGGCCCTGGGCATCATGAACAGTATCGCCATCTTCCAGACGTACGTTGCGACGCATCAGCTCAAGGGATACAGCGAGGGAACGATTGGGTGGATTTTCTCCGTGTATACGTTCCTCTGCTTCTTTGGGGGTATCTATATCGGGCCAGTGTTTGATCAGTATGGCCCGCGGTGGCTCGTTCTCGCTGGGACGGTGTGTCTTGTCATTGGCGTCATGTTGTTGAGTATATGCACAGGTAAGTCGTTTACACAGAGTTTTGCATCGGCTCGCCTTGTTGTGGCGCGTCGTTTCATCACTCCCTCCCAGACTTGCATCCCTCAACACATCCTCTCCGAGCAATACAAATACATAAGAGCGCGCTAACACACTCTCCCAGTATACTGGCACTTCATGCTCGCCTTCGGCATCCTCTGCGGCCTCGGCAGCTCCCTCGTCTTCACCCCGTCCATCGCAGCCGTAGGCCACTGGTTCAAGCGCCGCCGCGGCTTCGCGACAGGTATGGCCTCCACCGGCGGCTCCATCGGCGGCATCATCTTCCCCCTTATGATGAAGTCCCTCTTCCCCCGCATCGGCTGGGGCTGGACCATCCGCGCCGTCGGCTTCATCTGCCTCGCCCTCTGCGGCGCCTCCAACTTCCTGATCCGCTCGCGCCTCCCGCCCGCCCGCAACGCGAGCCCGCACCCGGACCCGCGCATCTTCCGCAGCGCGGCCTTCAGCCTTACGACGGCGGGCATTTTTCTGATGGAGTTTGCGCTGTTCATCCCGCTGACGTACATCTCGAGCTACACGCTCAGTCAGGGGTTCAGCGAGTCCTTTGCCTTTTCCATCCTGCCCATCCTCAACGCCGGCAGCGTTCTAGGTAGGGCGCTGCCTGGTTGGTGGGCCGATAGGGCCGGACCGTTTAACAGCAACATGGCCGCCATCGTGCTGTCCGTGGTCGCGTGCCTGGCCGTCTGGCTGCCGGCGGGCTCGACGGCCGCGGGCGTCATCGTCTTTGCCGTGCTGTTTGGTTTTGCAAGCGGGAACAACATCAGCATCAGCCCCGTGTGCGTCGGGCGGCTGTGCAAGACGCAGCATTACGGGCGGTACTACTCGACGACGTATACCGCCGTCTCGGTCGCGTGCCTGATTGGTATTCCCATTGGCGGCGAAATTGTCACGGCGACGGGTGGCCAGTATTGGGGTCTCATTATCTTCACTGGGCTGGTGTATGTTTTGGCCTTGGCGGCGCTCATGGCTGCCAAGTTTGTGTGCATTGGAAAGGTTATCTGGGGCAATTTCTAGAGAAAAAAGAGAAAGAAGAAGAAAGAGATTCGGACAGGCGCACTTTTGTTACAAGGGAAAATTCGAGGTCTTGGTACATAAAAAGGGATTGGTTATCAAAGAGGTATCTATGATGAGAATTGTACATATAATGAAGACTAGACCCGGAGTTAATTGTAATGATGTAAGCTTACCTCATGTTTAACTGTATCTGTCGTTCCCAAACAGGAAGTTCGGTTTGGAAACATTCTTATGATCGGCTATCGGTGCCGAATCAACATCGACTTCTGAGTCACTTGTGTGTTGAGAATGAGATTTGAGCCGCGGTTGTAACGACGTGAACGCCGACGGGACGTCGTTGCGAAGCCCCGAAGCAAATACGTTCCCAGAAATCCGCAGCAGATTCCATCCCGGAGGTGCGGGTCGGTGGGGCACGGGCCTCCTTCGGCCCGTGCGGAGGAACCGAACCGGCGCTGGAAACGACGGTTTAAAACCCTCGCTGCGTTTCCCAATCTCTCTTCATTGTGGTTAATTTCTTGTTTTCAGTGATTGTTGAGGTACGAAGTTTCCGGAGATAGAGCATTCGACACAACCTCATACATCGTCTTCGAGATTGACGCTATTTAAACTTAGAAAGACACTATATATCCCAAGGTGAGTTTACGTGTAAGACACGTCATATGAGAAAATGGGTGCCGGAGGACCGAGGTCCGGCGGAGGTATTGGGCCGAGTAATGGAGATGGATTCTCATCCCTCATACTCCTTATACACCATACTTCTGGACATGAATGGGGTCGAATGCCGCTACTGGAGATATCAACTGTGTATATTAAGTCACTGACACCGTTCAGGTCTCACATACACCTTCGGACGGCCCTTCGTCACCAGTCCATTTTCCCTGCCACCGAGGTCTCACAAATCTCACCACCACACATCATCACTTGACACAGTAAACAGCTACCACTTCTCTGAGACGATCCGTGAATATCACCGCTTCATCAAACACAAACTCCCCCCCCGAAAAATGTCTCTCCCCACAGAAACGGCAGAACGCCAAGAAGACGCCTACTTCTCCTCCCAACCGCCCCCCAAAAACCTAGACGCCCACGTCGCCGCCGCCCGCTCCTTCATCGACCACCACGCCGCCTCGAGCCGGCGCGTCGTCCTCGTGACCTCGGGCGGCACCACCGTGCCCCTCGAGAAGCAGACGGTCCGCTTCATCGACAACTTCTCCGCGGGAACCCGCGGCGCCACCTCGGCCGAGTACTTCCTCGAGGCCGGCTACGCCGTCATCTTTCTGCACCGTCAGTTTTCGTTGCAGCCGTACTCGCGCCACTACTCCCACGCCACGGATTGCTTTTTGGATTTCCTGGCCGAGGGCGAGGACGGCACCGTCGTCGCGAACGCGGCGCACCAGCAGCGCATGCGAGAGGTGTTGCGCAAGTATACCGCTGCTAAGAAGGGCAATATGCTGCTCATGCTGCCGTTTACGACGATTACGGATTACTTGTTTGAGCTGCGCGCTATTGCGGGGTTGTTGAGACCCTTGGGCCCGTCGGCGCTTCTCTACCTCGCCGCCGCGGTGTCTGACTTCTTCCTGCCGCAGGACAGAATGGCCGAGCACAAGATCCAGTCCACCAATGCCACGGATTCTTTCTCTGGAGCAGGGGCAGGATCAGCTACAACGAAAACCACAGCCAAACCCGCCAACTCCAGCAACGGCAACGGCAACGCCTCCAACACGGAAGACGAAGAGGCCTTTGACAACTTCGACTCCACCAAGATAGCAAAATCCAAGTCCCTCGTCATCGACCTCGACCCCGTCCCCAAATTCCTCCAGAACCTCGTCGACGGCTGGGCCCCGCAAGGGATGGTCGTCAGCTTCAAGCTCGAGACGGACCCGGCCATCCTCGTGCACAAGGCCAAGTACTCCCTCGAGCGGTACCAGCACCACCTCGTCATCGGCAACCTGCTGTCCACGCGCAAGTGGGAGGTCGTCTTCGTCGCGCCAGGTAGGCCGGACCGGTGGGTCCGCGTGCCGAGCGTTCAGCGTGCGTCATCGTCGTCGGGGGGAAGTGGGGGAACGTGGGAGGACAAGCCGCTTGACCCCAGCGCGCTGCCGGAGAGTGATCCCGAGATCGAGATTGAGAGCTTGATTATCCCTGCTGTGCAGGATTTGCATTCGCAGCACATCGAGTCGTTGTAGAAGTAGAGGGATATTGTGTGTCAGCGAGCGAGGGGATTTCATGTTTCCTGGCAAGGCTTTTTTGGGCAAGCGTCACGTATATAACGGCATAGCGCGCATCAAATGGTAATGAAAAAAGCATATCAAGTACAATTGTTTCCCTCCTTGTCTTTCTCGCTCTCTCTCTATGAAAGGTACTCCAAACCGTGCGCGCTACGTGATGCTTTATATGATACATGTACAACATCCCCCGGGTTTTCTGCGCAGTGCAATTTCATTATTTAGACGTCGACGGCGCCAAACGCCAGGCTCTCATGGGGAGTGACTGCAGATGCAGAACTCTAGGTCGGATGTAGAGCATGAACGTCACCACGCCAAAGACGACGCAGATGATGTTGACAAAGTAGTATCCGTCACGCACCATCTCACACGTGCCGCCACCGTTGACACACTTCTCCTTGTCTGGCTGCAGGGAGCAAGAGAAGGGGTCGGTGATGACAGGGCCCTTCAGGGCGTTCAGATCCGCGGGGTTGCCAGGTTTGCAGGTCGCGACGGTGAAGTAGTCGACCAGACGCAAGACGAAGAAGCGCGGGAACGTGCCGCCAAGATTACAGACGCTGCGGAGGCCATATTAGCAAAGGAACTTGGTCAAGTGATAATCCGAGGATAAACTTACGTAGCCAAGAGAGTCATGTAGGTACCGCCGATGACAGGGTCTGCGATTCTAGCGTGGAAAGCAGAGACGGCGACAAACATGACCGTGTTTGTAAAGGTCGAGAAGACGTGTTCGCCAATGACGACCAGCATGTACCAAGGAGTAACGCCGCCGGCCGGGAAAATGGTGACGGTGAACTGGGCGATCAGAGCAGCAACGAGGCGGCCCATGAAGCCCCAGCACCATAGGCGCATAGGAGTGTATTCCTGAGACCACTTGCCAGCGTAGTAGCCAAGCGCGATTTCAAAAGGGAAATCGATGAGGACCGTCAGGGCCATGTTCTCCTGACCGAATCCCTTGTCAATGAGCTTCAGGTTGGTGACTGCGTCATTGGCCTGAAAGCCAATCTTAGCAATGAGATGAACAATGATAATGGTCTGGATATTCTTCAACTTGAGAACACCCCACATGATCTTGTACACATCCCAAATGCCATCCTCATTCTTGGTTCTCTCCTCACGCTTGAAGAGAGAGAGCCCAATGGTGATGGCAATGTACGCCCAGCCCCAGAAAGTCAGATATCCGCCAAGCGACATGAGACCGTGATCCAGGGGAGAGCTGCGGAAGTAGCGGTTTGCAAAGTCCTTGGAGTTGAAGGCCAAGAACACCGTGTAGGATAGGAAGTGGCCGGCAGTGAGACCGACGGTCTGTGCAGTGGATGCATACGACACATTGCCGGGCGTCAGGAGAGTCAAAGCCCAGCCGTCTACGGCGATATCTTGCGTGGCGCACATAAAGACGAGGAAGAACCACCAGCCGGTGAAGTTCCACACGGTAGGACCTCCGGGCTTGCCGGTGTTGGCCATCATGTTCTCGACAGTAGACCCGAGCCAGAGCATACCCAGTCCTGAAAGCAGCTGAATGGGAAGAATCCAGCTCTTTCTGCGTCCAACCTTGGGACTCCAAACCGCGTCAACGATGGGACTCCAGAGAAGCTTCAGCGAGTATGGGTATGAAGCTAGACTAAAGATTCCGATCTCGCTGTACGACATGTGGTCCTTCATTAGGAAGGGAACCGAACCACCCGCGAGACCCATGGGCACACCCTGTAGGAAGTACAGGAGCACCAGCAGGAGGAAATTCCTCTGATCCTGCAACGGCAACTCGAAGAAGCCATGATTATTGGCGATGGGTGTCTTCGGGACGGGGTCGTCGAGGGTGAAGGATTCGCGCGACATCAGGTTCGCGGTCACGGTGTCGGAGCCGGGAGTCGTCGCCTTCCGCCGGAACTCAACGTTGTTCTGGTTCATCCCGCCGTTGGCGTTACCGTTCGTGCCGTCTGTGTCTACAGCTAAATCAGCCAAAGCTTTTCGCTTGACGGACTTGTTTCGGCGTGTTCGGACGCTCATTTGTGCTTGGCTTGTAGTTGAGGAGTGTCTCGGTTGGAGCTTGCGGCGCAATGCTAGTACGCAGTAGAATTCGAGGTTTCGGTTGAGAGCGGCTGTGTCGAAACGTGAGAGGTGGTTTGGGAGAAAGGAAAAAAAGACTTTATGCGACAAGTCGGGAGTCGTGAGCAAAGGAAAAGGTTCTTTGTCTGTCCAGCGAAGACCACCTAGACAGGGTCGAGGGCGGGGTGGAGCAGAGTCCGTGGCAGTCAAGGCGATGCTGTCTTAAACAACAGCTTAGACCAATGATAGACGGTATGGCGCTAGGCACCCAAGCAATCGAGAGCTTGTTTTTGTGTGCGCGAGTATGGTTGGTAGAAGAAAGGGTGGAAAAAGGTGATGTTCGGGGAACAGTGGAAGCGCAACCGTGGCCTTTGACACTTTTGAGAACACGCCAGTGGCAAAGAAGGAATGGAATAGTGGTCGAGTTGGACGTTGCGGGGTCTTGGAAAATGAGGGAAATGATAGATAAGAATGAGATATGATAGTAAAAAGAACTCAAGTCCCAAGTGGACCGACACGTAGTGAATTCGGCAGAAGCAAATCAACACAGCAAGAAAAGGTGTTTCTGTTGCGACGATACCTCGGGGTGAAGTAAACGGGAATTGGGGAGAAGATTCAAAGAAGCTTATCCAGGTCCAGACGCGCTCCACTCGAGTGGGAAGCCACCCGCCGCCCGGCGAGCTCCCTTGGGACCCCTGGCGCCATGCCTCATTTGGCGCCAAACTGCGTAGGTACCCAAGATAATCATTGATAAGATAACAGTTTAGATAAGCTTCCCCGCGGGTCGCATTCCGCGCTGTCGGGACGTTTTGTTGACTGGGTTCAAGTGTCTCGCACTGCGCTGCTTGGCAACCAATTCAATTGTCAACTTCACCAAGACGCGTCGATCGCGTCCAGGATCCCAATCACGTCATCGCTAACTAAGACTACGACAACTGTGCTCTCCTCGCCGAGGAAATCGCGATTCCCTCCTGTCCACACCCGCAACAGACAAAATGTCTGGTGAACTTCCAGATGCTGCTGCAGAAGCTCTCGAACAAGAGATCAATGACCTTCGAGCAAAAGGTAAGTGCTTCTCCAAGGGGATCCTTGCCCAGATGCTAACTTGCGATGCGCCCAGCCGCCTCGTTGAAGAAGGAATTGAAGGTCCAGGCCACAGCTCTCATCTCGTCCGATTCGATACGAAACGCCCTCAAGGAAGACAATGAGAAACGCAGCACGATTGCACTCCCTTCCGAATCCAAGGCCGACCGCGACCAAGTCCTCTCCCGATCCAAAGCCCAAGACGCGCACGACCAGCAATGTCTGTACAGAACTTGCGCAACTATAACGACGTTCAAGGTTAAAGACCCGGACCCCAATGCCGTCGATCGAGGCAGCGTTCTGGGCATTCGCATCGAAATCATGTCCGGCGCCAAGTTCCGACGACCATACTATGTCATGCTCAATCGACCGTACAAAGACTCGCGACACCTGCGTGTTCATCGCCATACGGTGCCTCCATGCATCCCGCTCGCCGCACTCGCTGCTCGCCATCTCCCTGCACCCAAGCCTGCCGACGCCGAAGATCAGAAGGTCCAAGATTTATCTCGCTTCGTGCGAACGCTGAGGAGGGAAATTGTGAGATACCACAACCGCACTGCTGTGATTGGCGATCTGCAAAAGGCGGCTGGGCTGGTGGGCGCCGGCAGCGAGGGGGATAACTCCGACCAGGCGGTCACAAGCATCGTTGCCGCAGACATTGAAGCCAAGCAGATCAGCATCGAATGGGCCGATGGCAGGGCGGGCAGATTGGTCATGAGCGAAGATGGGCAGATTCAAAAACTCGTCGTTCTCGGCATGGCGGGACGTGATCGAGAGACCACGCGAGATCTTCTAGGTGACAGCCGTCGCGTAGAAGATGTCGCAAAGCGGTTAGCGACATCTTGAGGACTGGGTCGGGTACGACAAAGATGCTTCTACGAATAGGAAATTATGGACCAAAGACTGGTCATCCGACGACAGTAGGACCCATTTCTACGGCCTTCAACGAAGATCTTGCGGGATAGACCTCTCAACTGAAAAGCAACCAGATCGGCAAGTCCGTCCGAGTGAGACGAGCACATGCTAGGTAGAAAGCCGTCCGCACCGAAAAATCGCATTTGTCCTCTCGACTGATGCGTGACCCTCCGAGCCGTCCGCAACCTGGCCTGAACGCAAATGTACCTTAAGCATATTGCGTTCAATTTGCAAGATTATGCAGCCACAAACTCGGTCCGCAACTCAATCGACCAGCGAGTAAATGGCAGAGGCTTCAAAGTGGATCATGTCAAAAGCAGATCGACTCAAGGTATCCCTCGATCTGAAGATCTGCTGTCGATCCGTAGCAGCCGACCAAAGCTACGCGGCGAGAAGACGACACCCAGGGCAACGCGACTATTGATGACCGATTATGCGTGTCAAACCCGCTGCAGAGCCATGTTAGTCCAAGACATTGAGCTTGGTTGCGAGGAATCGACTTGGGAATTCCATCATTGGTTGCACCTTGCACGAGTAAAGGATGATGGAACAGATATTGTAATCAAAAGTACGCAACCCATTATATTAGCCTTAACTAATTAAGTTGGGTTTCTCAGACGCCAGAGCCGATATCCTCCTTCGCCCAAAGTTGCGAAGCCCGAGGAGCCAACCCAATCGTGTCCAAGTGAAAACCCCCCAGATTCCCGTTCGTTGATTTTCAGTCATTAACCCTTATTTTGTCCCATTGTACCCCAAGTTCCCATGGTATATCACCCTCTATGCCTGAATCGCAAAAGCAACGTATTGTCTTTCTCTCTAGTAACATGATGAAAAGCAAAAGGCCAAAAAATAAAAGCACTGAAGATTCCATTTAGATAAAGGCAGCGGCGGCAGCCACCACGGCGACGACCACACCACCCGCGCGCTGAACGTTTTGTACAGCACCGGCGGTGACGACGGCGCGGCTCGTGGTCGCGGTCGGGTTGGGTCTGGTGACGGTGCCGACGGAATCGGGCTTGGTCGTCGTGGCGGCGGGGGGAGCAGAGGAAACGGGAGGGACGGGGACCACAGGGGGGCTTGATGACACGGGCGGGATGACGACGGAGGAGAGGGTCTGGGGAGGGGAAGGGTTGCTGGGCGCGGGCTGCTCTGCCGGCGCGGTGGTGGCGGGAGGAGCCACGGGCGCGGTGGTCGGGCCCGGGTTTGGCGCGACGGGGACGGGGCAGATTGTGACGATGGCGGGGACGGTGACGGTCTCGTACATTGTGCCGCCGCCGTTGCCGGGGCAGTTGGGGACGCTGGGCGGGCAGCTGTAGATTGTGGAGACGGCGGTCTGGGTGATTGTGGAGGTGGTCCACTTCCAGGACTGCGGCGTGGTGGTGGGCTCGGGCTGCTCCGGCTGGTCGGGCTGGTCGGGTGTCTCTGTGGGTTCCGGGGCCGAGGGGGGCTCGGTGGTCTCCGGGGAGCACTTGTCGCAGCCGGGTTCCTTTGTGTGCTTTGGCTTCTTCCACTTGTGGCCGTCCTTGTCCTTGCCGGGCTTGTCGCCCCATTTGGGCTTGCCCGGGTGGACCCAGTGCCAGCCGTGCTCCTTGTCGCTGTCGCAGTCGTCAATGTAGACGTCCGGGTGGGGAGGGTGCCAGACGGAGATGCAGTCGGAGGGTGGGCCTGTGAGGGGGCCAAAGGTCTTGATGTTGAAGTCTACGTTGCCGTTGGCGAGGCCGAGGGGCTCGATGCCTGGTGGGTAGCTGAATTGGCCGTCCCATGTTGCGCGGGCGACGGCTGCGAGGCCGAGGACTGTGAGGGTTGAGTAGCGCATTGTGTTGTGTGTGTGTGTGTGTGTGTGTGTAAGTGAGGTGGGTTATGGTTTGCTCTGGGTAGGAGAAAGAATGAATATTTACTATAAAGTAAATAGGGAAGTGTGTAGAGTGAGAGAGAGCAAACGAGACCAGGGTCGATATTGAAGGTATTAGCGAAAGTAATTGGTATCAGAGATACTGAAGAGAGAGAGAAGAAAAGGGGAGTCGAGAAACAAGGTGAAGAGCTGCTCCTTTTCTATCTTTCTTCCCTTTCCCATCGCGGAACTCCCATACAGGGGGTTTAAGTGACGATGGCGGAGACATCGGGAGGAGGAGTGGCTAGGGGCAAAGCCGCTAAGCCCAACATCGCGAATAGACTCACGGGTATACCTTGGGTAGGTCACTAAATGGAGCTACGCTAATTTGATTAAACGTCATGTCATTATTCCGCCGTACATAGTAGTATCCGTACGTACATGGAAGAGAAAAGGCCTGCCGTCCTTTGGACGCTGCCCCATCTAAAGGGGCTGAAAAAGAAGCATCGCCCCGCAGGCCTCCATTGCATGTCGAAGATCTCCGTGATTGGTTAGCCCGTCTCTTTGACGAAGATCAGGGGGGAAAGGCTGGGAGGGGGAGGAAAACGATCACAAGGACGGGGATCACCAAGCTTCGGATGGACGTTTGCTAAAATTACGTTGCGATCAGAAATTGGGACGACAGGTACGGATACGGAGAGATGTGCTTGGTAGGGCCTTGTTTCTTTTCCTACTACGTAACTTTCTTCTCCCAATTCGGAAAAAAGAATAGAGGGAACGGAGTGGTTGAAGGAGCGCAGCAGGCCAGAGATGGAGATGGAGATGGGCGCAGCTGCTGCTCTGCATGAGCCTCTGATACAGGGACGGAGCATGCTTCGGCAGATGGGATCACCCAGGATCCCTGTGTAAAGCAGCCTTTTCACTAATGACCAAGATCTACGGAGTACCTGCCAGCAAACCCGGGGGAAGAAGGTCAAGGAGGGGGGAAAGACGATGTCACCTCGTCCGACAACCAGGGGTAATGCCACTCTGCTATGCCACCATTTCACGCTAATCGTAAATATCCCTGCAGAAATCGTCTCGAATGGTGTTGAGCTTAAAGAGACCTTTGGGCTCGAGGAGAGTCGAGATG